GGTGTTCTACCACACAACGATACTCAATGGTTGCATTATGCCGTGGTGGCGTCTAACGCGGGCAAGCACACCAGATACGGCCAGTGGCAAGGAAAGTCCCCCACTGGGATTGCATCGAGACCTGTCATTATTCAATGACGGTTTGCCTGCCATGGCACAAGACAATACGAAAGACTCTGCCTACTACTCAAGGCACCAGAAAAATAGAGAACAGACAACGCTACCCAGCAAGAATCGAACCAGAAACCTCTTGCCGTACCAGTTTGAACACTGGGGGAAGGGGGGTGGGGCTGCCGAACACCTCACGCTGTGACGTGTCAGCGTATAAAGGAGGGGCGAGTGCTGCGGGTTGCCTACCCAGACGTTTGCAGGCGACCGAGTACTTTCGCTTCCGGATTAGAGTACCCCGGGTGGTCGCACAAATTCTGGGATAGTGATATTCGAAGAGCACTAATTAAGCCGGTCAAAATGGTGTAATCCTTTCTTCGATTGGGTGATTGGGTGGGGCGAGCGTGAAGCTAAGCTAGCCCCACCCACTTCACACTGCGAAAAGTACGGGAAGGAGTGTCGCACTAATTCTCAAACTAGTGTAGATCAAAAGCACTAATTGAGCACTAAAAGATGAGCCTAGTAGCGACGTTTACACTAATTTGGGTGGGGCTAGCGTGAAGCTGGCCCCACCCAAGTTCAATATTGAATTTACGGGGTTAAATACTGCGCACTAATTCTAAAACTAGTATGGTTCGAACGCACTAATTGAGCACTAATTATTGGTACTATCCGTTTAATTAGTGCGAACATGGGTGGGGCCAGCTTCACGGAGGTGGGCGCCCTTCTCTCAAGCCTGAGGACGCCCAAAGTGCAGGTGTAGGCTGCTGCTCAGGTAGCGAGGGGTAAGGGATCGTTTGGCATACAACAGTGCATTCCGGCCCTCGGGCGACTTTTAGCCGCGGCCCGCGGGTAAATGTTGACTGTGGGCAGGTAAAGTCGAAACCGGCCGAGTAACGAACCTCAACCGCAACAGACATAAGTTGAAGAAGTGAGTGCGAGCTGATCTTGGAATAACATACCTGTGGACTTTCACGTGCTTTGTGAGGCTCATCTTGGAGATGAACGTGGCGCAGCAGACCTTGCACAAGTACGGCTTGTTCACGTCGCGCATCCCGGGGCAGTCCCGCCCGTGCCGCCTGAGGGAGCGGACCGTCGTGAAGTTGGCGCCACAGCCGTCGCACGCGCACGTGGTCTTACCCTTGGCGTGCACCGACATGTGGCGGCTCAGCGCCGCGGCCGAGACCCAGCGGGCGCCGCACTCGGCGCAGACGTGCGGCTTCTTGGCCTGGTGTAGCTGCAGCTCGTGCTCCTTGAGCTCGCTGTCCGACGAGCCCTTCCACGCGCAGTACGAGCACCTGCAACGCACAGAGGGCGGGGAGGGCGCGTGCCCGTCAGACACCGCATCGCGCGGGGAAGTACCAGGTTGCGGGGCTTCACCGCACTTACGTGAACGTGCTGGCGCACTTGTGGCGCAGGCGCTGCACGGCCCTGGAGAGCACCGAGCCGCAGAACTCGCACGTGTTGACGGGGCTCTTCGCCGAGTCATCGCCGTCCACGTCCAGCTCACTCTCCTCGTCCTCGGCCTGGCTGGGCGCCCTGGTGATCAGCATCATGGTCTGAGGCGCCAGAGATGCCGAGAAGTCCGCCGCCGCCGCCGACGACCCCACTGGTTGGTCCACCTGAAATGAGATTGAACGTCAAGGAGGGTTCGAAACGATAGGCCGGGGATGGAATGCATGCAATACGCCCACCTCATCGAGATCGTGCGCCGTTGCGACGCCTCCCTCTCGCCTTGCGGTGCTCGCGAATGCTCCGAGCTCGGCCACACTGGGCTTGACATCACGCGGTGGACCTCCCAGCTCGCCGGGGGTGGGGCTGATGCACTCGCGCTTCAAGCACAAGCGCCCTGGAACCATGGGAAAGGGATGGTGATGTACTGTAAAAATATTACAAGGTGAAGTTGGCATTTCTTGATCCCTTTACCAGACTTACCATCTAGTAATGGGTCATCTGAGTCGCAGGCCTCATCAACATCCTCTAGAAATTCCACTTCTGACTCATCTAGGGAATTGCTACCCTTATGGGTCAGCTTGCTGGCTGCTGAAGCAGGGTTTCTCAGCCAAATGGCATGGCGGGTTAGTTCAGAGATTGTGCCATTCAGGGTAGTACCTAGAGAAGAGATGTATGTCACTGTTAGTTACACAAATTCATATAGTGGCTTCTATTAATGCATAAGTTTCTCAAGCATCAGTCACAACACTTTTCATTCAGTTACTTATGGCATGCAGCACCCATACGAATCTACACTATGAATCTACATCATGCAGTACATATCAATAACTAAAACTATTTTGCACAGAAGTGGTGATGATCATCTGGGTTCACTTATCCCTGGAACAGAAAATTGCAATTTGGTTAGTAGAACTATTTTACACTCTGTGATTTCCCTGCTTCCAACATAGCAGATTCAACACGTTGACTCTCACATGAACACACATATGGCCACAATAGCATGTAAAAGGGGACCCCCCTGGGCCTCAACGTATTAAGCAAAAACATGAACAAAATAAAAGAATTTAAGTCAGACATGACGATGTTAGAAGGGTCTTGTCAGGGAAGAAAGTACCCTCATAGCATCTCTCATGACTGACACAAAGAACATATAGCATAATAAATTACAACATCAGAGCAAAATGACAATAGTAAACAGTTCTAATTGAAAGGTTATGGGTAAAGGTGGATTTACGATGGTAGCGTTAGCGGTACGCAACAAGCGTAGTTCTGCCGCTAGCGTTAAAACAACGCTCTTCCACGCCCCCCTCACCCTGTTCTGACCACTACGCTAGCGTTAATTCAACGCTAGCGTTCAAGATACGCTCGCTGCGTTCCGATCGTAAATCCCCCTAAAACGTGAGCCGATGAGCCGATGTTGACAGCCGATGATGTCGCCTCTCAGTCACACCATGGATGCCCAAAAGTGAGTACGATTATCGGTCGTCACAAAAGAGCCAATTGGAACCCCCTCCGAGTTTTGCTGTTGTAATAATGGCTGTATCAGCTTAAGAGAAATAACAGATGACAAATAACAGATCCCTCTTATACAGGTTATTTCTGTCTTTTGACGTTTCAAAAATTTTAAACTCAACACATTTTGCAATAAATGCTACTTTAGTGGAATAAACTACGACCAAACAGCATAAATAACCTTCCTGAAATGGATCTGTTATCTGTTATTTTTCTTAAAGGTGACACAGCCAATGTCATTTAACTTGTTTGTTGTTCAGTACT